TTAAATAGACAATGACTAAAGTTATACGAGTAGTTATCTGTAGCTTTATTGAAATGTAATGTAATACCCCCTATTAATTAGGGTTGTAAGTCTTAAATAAAAAATGCCAGGACACAGGACTCCCTCTTTAAACTATAAAAAAAAAAAAAAAAAAAAAAAAAAAGAATTAAAAACATTATCTTGATCACTATTGTTAATAACATTTAAATTATTTTTACTACTGAATTGTTCTTTATTGTTGTTACTGAGCCACAAACTATTATCATTACTGGGCTACATCATTTCATCATTATCACTATAATACATTGTTGCATAGCTATATTATTTGTGCTATATTTTTTTTTTGAGTTTTATTATATAGGAAGGATTCATATAAATATTATAAAAAAATTATAAAAGATGATATTTTATTACCAAAAAATCTGAACTACCTTAAGAATAAGCAAACTTAAACCTTAAACCTAAATTACAACTTCCTACTTCCTACTACTAATCTTAAATACCTAACACCTAATCTCTGAAAAAAAAGAATTATTTTATTAGAATGCATTTTGCTTGGTATAGCATATATTAAAAGTCGAAAGCACCCTTTATCTAATTCTGTAATTCAAGTAAAAGAAATTTTTTTGTCTACATAGAAGGGACATATACAGTATTTACAATTGTTTGTCATAGTTATACATATACAGTATAGTATATTATAGTTTGTAGTATATTTTGTAACAAATTTCACATATTATAGTTTACTTATTAACAGTATAAAGTATAGTTATACAGAAGTTTATTATGTTTTGATACAAGAATAGTCTCAAAAGTACTAAATGTAACTATAGCCACAGTAGACATTTTTAATATCTTTATACATAGCTTAGAAAAATTAGTACAGTAGATATAATATACATGCTATAGCATAGGTCAGAAAAGTAAATAAATTTAATAGGTCTATAATCATATGACATAGTCTGTTACTGTATTACAATTGGTGACAAGTAGATTTATTCTTTTAAATAATTCTATATAAATATTTTTTTTAAACAATTTTTTTTGAATTAGATAAATAATTTTCTTTAAATTAAATAAATAAAATTTTTTTTTAAATAATTTATTTATTTATTACTATCACTATATTTATTTGTTAATTTTATTTTATTTAAATTTTTTTAAATTTATTTTACTATATTATTTTTATTTTTGTAATTTATTAATTTTATTATTAAAAATAGAATTTAGATTTAAGTTATATTTTAATATGTAGTATTTTTTTTTTAGTTTTTAAAGTTAAATAATTATTAGATACAAAATTATAAAATTAAGTTCTTAGTTTTTAAGATTATATAAAAAATAAAGGTTATACTTTCACTACAGCTATCACCTCTGCTTTAGTATTTTACTAAAACCTCTTATTCCCTAACTCTTATCCAAACTCTAACTCTAACTCTAACCCTAATTCTAACTCTAACCTAAACCTAACTCTAACTCTAACTCTAATTATAAATTATATTTTAATTATAAGTTTAATTTTAATTTAAATTAAATTTAAATTAAATTTAATTTTATTTTAAGAATAAATCTACTTGTCACTGATGGTAATACAGTGACAGACTATATCACATAATTATAGACCTATTAAATTTATTTACTTTTCTGACCTATATCACAGCATGTATATTACATCTACTGTACTAATTTTTTTAAACTACATATAAAGATATTAAAAATGTCTACTGTAGCTATTGTTATGTTTAGTACTTTTGGAACCATTCTTGTATCAAAGCATAATAAACTTCTGTATAACTATACTTTACACTATCAATAAGTAAACTACAATATATAAAATTTGTTGCAAAACATACTACAAACTATAATATACTGTACTGCATATATGTAACTATAACAAATAATTGTAAATACTGTATATATCTTTCCTACGTAGACAAAAAAAATTTTTTTACTTAAATTATGAAATTAGGTAAAGGGTGCTTTTAACTTTTAATATGTACTATACTAAGCAAAATGTATTCTAATGAAATAATTCTTTTTTTTTTCAGAGATTAGGTGTTGGGTGTTTAAGATTTGTAGTAGAAAGTAAGAAGTTGTAATTTAGGTTTAAGGCTTGAGTTTGCTTAATCTTAAGGCTGTTCAGATTTTTTGGTAATAAAACACTATTTTTTTTAATTTTTTTATAATATTTATATAAACTCTTCTTATATAATAAAACTCAAAAAAAAAATACAACACAAATAATATAGCTACGCAATAATGTATTATAGTAATAATGATAAAATAATGTAGTCTAGTGATGATCATAGTTTGTAGCTCAGTAACAACAATAAAGAACAATTCAGCAGCAAAGACAATTTAAATGTTATTAACAATAGTAATCAAAATAACATTTTTAATTCTTTAAATAATCTTATAATATTTTGAACAATTCTTTTAATAGCTTGAATAATATTATGAATAATAATACTTTTAATAGATAAAAGATTACAACTAATAATGACAATTGTACAAATAATTTGATTATATTAAATAATACTGAATCTATACTTTATTCTAAAAATTCAAATGATTTGAATGCTATTGAACAGTTAGTATTAATATAATCTTATAGTTTATCTTGTAGTATCTAGTATTAATAATCTTTATTCTGTAGTGATTATAACAACAATAAAGTATTACAGCCAGAAGATCAAGCTATAATGATCATGAAGTATGTACTATTTACTATATTTTTTTTTACAATAATAAGATACTAATCTATTATACAATTCAGTTATTTCTCTCAATGACCAATTGTAAAACCACCTTATACTAGACAAATCTTTAATACATGAGATAATATTAACAAGTATTTAAGTAACTATACCTGGCAAGAAAACTTTATTATGATTAAGATTAGGAACAAATGAAACCTACCTCTAGAAAAGACTTATTAGAGACACATATTCACATATGATCATCAAAGTACTTATAAACTAAAGAAAACTGTAATTCTAGAAAACTAAAGGAATAGTAGATCTAAGAGATCTAGTTGTTATTGGTATATTAATATGTCTTTTTCAAAAAAAACTACAGTTATTAGTGTGATATCACTAGACCTTAACTATAATTATACAATTAGTTCAAGAGCAAATTTATATGCTCCAAAATATAGAATATTTCTTAATGCTATTGTACAAGAAGTTCATTTTTATATAGTTGAAGGCAATCTCAGTATGACAATTCAGTATTGACTTTTGTCTGCAAAATTTTCTAAATTTGCAATATATTTATGAGACTTATAAAATTTAATACAAAAATATAAAATAATAGATCATAAGAAAAATAATGTAGTGAAACTTTTAAAATACTTACTTACTAAAAAAACTAAAAAGCCTAGATAAGAAGTGTTTTGGGAACTCCATCAAGTGACAAATAGTTTGAATAAATTATTTTAGATATCACCAAACCAAGTTTAGTATTGGGTTACCTATTAGGATATTATACTGAATGATAATACTCATAAAACAAATCAGTATAATATACTTCTTTTCTTATTTATAGCTATTGATAACCATTTTTATACTCATCTTGTCATACAAGCTTTAGTGAATAATGAAAAAAGGAAACATATAAATAGCTCCTTACCTCTACTTTAAAAGCTACTAACTATATTCCAAGAGTCTTTTTCACTGATACTAATCTCAGCATGGATACTGCTATAGATAGTTAATATAGTGATACTTATCTACTTCATTGCCTCTATCATATATCACAAAATCTTATATGCAAACTTAAGGCTCCTCATGGCAATACTTATAATGATTTCTTAAAAGATTTCTATGTATGCTGCAATACACTTTTACTTGCAAAATTTGATTCTCAGTAGTATAAGCTTATTGCAAAATACTCTAAAACAGCTAGTTATCTTAACTCTGAGCTCTATCTTAGCAAAGAAAGGTGAGCTAAAGCATATACTACTAAACTCTTTACTGCTAGTATTATATTTACATCATAAGCTGAAGATAAAAACTTTGTGATAAAAAACTTATTTCAAGGCCACTCTAATCTTTGTGAACTTGCTAATATTCTAGGTATAATTATATAGTTTTTGTAATTTTTGTGAATAAGTTTCAGTAGATCTCTTTATAACTCTATTGATAAAATATATTATTAGTATTAGTGGCAATTATAGATGCAGACTTATGCTAGTGATATTGTCAGAAGTTATAACTCTACAGCAAATGTCAATTCTAATATTTTGATATAATTTTTAATTTAATTAATAATATATCAATTAGATATAATCATATGTTTTCAAATATCTGCCTCTATAGTGACAATGGACAAATAGAATAATAGAATTTGAATAGAATATAATTTTATTAATAGAACAAAAAAATTGATAATACTAATTATTAAGCAATTGATTTTAGAGCAAGAGTATTTATAATAAAAGAGATCTAGCTTAGTAAATTACTTTTCATAAATTTTATTAAAATTAAATTATATTTTTAGATCTGAGATTATGTGATGAAGCATGATATATTAATCATACTAAATAGAATCATGTAAACACAAGTGCATAATTAAGTAGTGCATTTGCAGAATGTTTTTCTCAAATAGATTATATTTTCAAAGAATATCTAACAGAAAAAATGCTTTCACAGCAAAGGCACAAAATTACTCAGTCATTCTATTATTATTCTGAAATAAATAGTAATGAATTATCTGATAACAAATTTAATGAAGATTATAATATACAGAAAATTCATCTAACTTTTCTTCTAGAAAATCTTTCTTCAAATGATATTGTTAAGATATATGAGGTCTAACAGCACAACTACACTCATAAAAACTATGTTACTATTCTCTCTGATCACTCACATTTATATACGTACATGTTATTAATCAACTGTAGTTTAGTTTGTCAATATTTTTGGCATATACTAGCTATTGATGATGCAGCATTTTTTCATATTACTCTAATATTTAGATATTAGTATAAAACTAAAAAAATGCAAGATTTAGACTTAGATAAACAACCTTATATGAATACTCATTCTAGACAACTAAATAAAAATTATTTATCTTATCTAAAGTTTCTTCCTATGTATCAGATTATTAAACTATGTAGAGATGATGTTTTTAGCTCAGAAGCTTGTTATGTAATTCAAAAGTGATATGCTTATGGAGAAATATTTAATCTTGCCTAAAAGGCAGTATGTACTGCAGTTGAAACAGGTGATGATTCTCTTTACTGTCTTAAAAGAAGCCTTAATAATTGGTTTGTTGAAGAGACAAAATTGGCTCATATAAAAAATGATAATAGAAAGAACTTTAACTCTAATTAGGTTGAAAATCTAATTGAAAGATATCAGAAAGAGCAGCCTTCAACTAAGCGATTAAAAAGTAGTATCAAATTATCATAAATTAAAAATAAAAAATCTAGCAGAAAAGCTGTACAAAATAAATATGAGAAATGTAGAGCTGTTAGGCATTATGCTTTAACTTGTAGTAAATAGGTATGTAGAGTTATTATGAAAATAAAATAAGCATAATAGTATTCAATTTATAGTATTAGAATTAAAAAAAAGAATTTTTTTTAAAAAAATAGTAATTTTTAAATAGAATAGGTTGAACTAATATGTTAATATTAATAGAATTTAATTATTTATTACTAATTTTTAAATTCATTATTGGTTATTTCATTTTTTTTTAAGTTTGTTTTAGTAATAAAATACTTTTATTAGTTTTAATTTTTTTAATATTTTTAATTCTGAAGTTTTTTTATTCTAGAATATCTATTTTGAGTTTTAGTATGATAATATTAAATTATAATCAAACTTTACAATCTCTACTAAACAATATTGGATTGAAGACTTTTGAATAGTAGGTTTAATAAAAATCTATATATAGCTAATTAGGTTAAAATTAACTTTATTGATTTTTTTAATTATAGCAAGAATTATTATTGTTAGTTTTTTTTTTCCTTATTTTCTTCAAATTTTTAGATTACATATTAACCTTATAATTAAATTATATAGTAATTACAGAATTACCAAATTTTGTATCATAAATTTTGTTGTGTTATGCTGATTATATCTTTATATATATATATTTTTTTTTTTATTAGGTTTGTAAGATCTAGTATTTTTGATACAATTAATTTAAGTTATAAGCTTTTACTTAGACTAATATATTTATATATGCTAATAGGCATGTAAGATAATGTATATAATAGAGTTTGAATAGTACAAAAGAAATAACTAGCATATTTGTTATTTATTGCAAGTTGTATGAATTTTAATGAATTTCTTCTAGATTTAAAATTTAAATCTAATTATAAAATGGCTAAAAAAAAGTAATTGTTTATCTCTAGCAAATGCCAATATACATACTAAAACATAGAGCCTATGTTCATGTCATGTATTATTTTTTAATCAGACATATTCTGGCACTTGCAAAGCTTTTTTAGATTTCAGAATTGTTTAATTTTGTTAGTTTTAGAGATTGAATCTATTAATAAAATCTTTACTCGAATACTATTTGTTTATCTAAGTTATTCGAGTATAATGTAATTATTACTTTACAGAAACCTGCAAATATTTGACGATATCATGACGATGTAGTCACAATGTAGATATAATTTAAAAAAAATTTCATGACAATTTATATAGTTATGATATTTTTAACTCATAGATACGTTATTGTAACTATATTATAAAAATATAGTAACTATTATGTTAAGATTCTGTAATGATTTTAGTAACTAAATTGTTACAATATCATAGCAATCTTATTATGATTATTATTAGGTTTTGTGACAATTTAATTATCAAATTGCTACAACTTAGTACTACAATGTTGTTGTGATTTCATTATGATTTTATTATGATTGTTATTAGGTTTTGTAACAATTTAATTATCAAATTGCTACAACTTAGTACTGCAATATTGTTGTGATTTCATTATGATTTTATTATGATTGTTATTAGGTTTGGTGACAATTTAATTATCAAATTGCCACAACTTAGTACTGCAATATTGTTGCGATATTATAGCAATCTTATTATGATTATTATTAGGTTTAGTGACAATTTAATTATCAAATTGCTACAACTTAATATTGTGATATTGTAGCAATTCCATTATGATTTTATTACAATTGATATTAGATTTGGTGACAATTTAATTATCAAATAAGATAGCTACATAATGTAGTCAAGCTAGAAACTAAGAATAAAAGCAAATATAGTAGCTAACAAATAGTACAAGTAATATACAAACAATAACTTATCTAGTTTCTTATTAATACATTATGAAGTATTTAATAAATACTATAGGGAATTAACTTTTATTAGCAAATCAAATAAAAGTTTAGAAGATATATAGAATTATTTTAAATATGTTTTTAATTATATTGTCATTTTATTATAAAAATGCAACAAGTACAGAGATATAAACTAATTTATTATAGGTTAGATTATGTAAACTTAAATTTTCATTTTGTTATATATATATATAAACTAGGAAACAAGCTCTGTTAGGAGTCCGAAGCTTAAGAAAGTTTATAAAAAAAAATACTTTGTGATATAGTTCAATACAAAAATTTAAAAAAATTATACTACAAATTATTTTTGAATATTTCATGATCTAGTAATCAAAATTTAATAATTTTGCTATTGTTAAATCATTTGAATGAGACAAATCAAATAGTAATAAAATCTTTAAATTCTGATTATTAGATTGTAAAATCATTAAATTTTTATTAATTTTGTTCACTAAATAATTTTTATAAAAATATAACGATCTTATAACTTAGTAATCAGAATTTAACGATTTTAGTACCATTTAATTCGACTCAATGAGATGATTCGAACAGTACCAAAATTATCAAATTTCGTTCACTAGGTCAAAAGATATTTAAAAAACACTTTGTAGCGCAGTTTTGAATTTTTATATTGAACTGTATCACAAAGTGTTTTTTCGAATATCTCTTAACCCAGTAATCAGAATTCGACAATTTTGGTACTGTTCGAATCGTCTCATCGAGACGAATCGAATGGTACCAAAATCATTAAATTCTGATCACTACATCGTAAGATAATTAAATTTTTATAAAATTTATTTTAATTTTGTTATTTTTATAGATCGTGACAGACGTCTATTACGTGCTCTGACAGATCTGAATGTCTAGAAGTGTCCTTAGCTACGCTTCAGACAATAAACATGTATTGTAGATTTTAAATACATGGATTAATAAATAATCTTTATACTCACAAACTAAATTAACTCAAATAAAAAGATTTTTTAATAAGTAAATATTTATAAACATGAATTGAAGATTTTAAATACATAGATTAATAAATGATCTTTATACTCACGAACTAGAATAAAAAGATTATTTAATGAATTGCTAAATTTTAAGTAACTTGATAATTAATCATAAAACTTACTCTCTAAAAGATTAAATAGTTTTGAGAATATTTAAATTTCTAATTTAAGATAAATAATTTAAATATAACAACTAGCCTACTTCTTTATCCAATCGTAGTATTTATCCCAATTGTATTCCACACCAATTCTATATCTGTAACAAATAGTAGTTTTAAAAATTCTATTAGAATTACCAGCCTCAGCTGATTTCTGATAATATATAAATACTTTATACAACACCAATTCTCGAATAATAACAATTGCCAACTCGATACATTCCGTTAGAATTATTCATATCTGCAGATTTTTTATAATGAATGAATACTTGATTTTTATCTTTTTCAACTCCAATTCCATATTCGTAATAGTAACTAAGCCAGAATATTCTGTTTAGATTACTCATATCTGCAAATTTTTGACAATTAATAAAATTCAGTTGATTAAGAATGTTAGTCATTTTAGTAACGAACCTAAAATCTTTTTGTTTCATTCGATAAATAAATAAAGTCAATAAATATTGAATATCAAGAAAAATAGCTACTACTGTCGTTAATTAATTACAGTTATAGTTACTTTAGATATAATATTAATTTATTGCAGTTACTTTTTTTTGCTAAAATATATTTGTTAATATTACAGTCTCAGATATTATTACATCAGACTGGTACAGATAAAAATATCTTATATAATCATCTAAAAATTGTGAAACCAAATATTTCCTAAATAATAACAAGAATGTTGATGACTGTTGAAAAAGTCTTAATTGGTTCTAGGCTAGAACTCGTCTGGAGGTCTGGTTATATAGAGATTCATGAATAAACAATCTAATCTAACTATCCAAATAATCTAAAAATCCAACTAAAGCGTAACCCTAAGTTGGAAAGGCTCAAAAGAGGTGAGGATTAACTTGGTCTGAGTTTAGGGTTACTTGGGTAGGTATTTAGGTTGTTGAATTTTAAGTATTGGGATTATATTGGGTTATACTGACCCTATATGAAAAAAAAACAAAAAATAAATAAATACAACCTGAATACGATAAAAAATTTTTGAGAGCAAGTGCAAATAGATCTGAATGATCTGAATGCTATAAGGAGTGAAATTGCCTACTCTGATACTGGCCAGGTCAAGAAGATGATCATCAAAATTTTTGAAATTTTAAAAATTTCAGAAATTTCGAAAATTTAATAAATCACGAAAATTAGGCAAATAACAGAAATTTGAAAAATTTAGCAAATTTGCAAATTTTTGTAAATTTAGCAAATTTGCGAAATTTGGATAGTTTAGAAAATTTGCGAATTTTCGCAAATTTAAGAAATTTTAGAAATTTATTGTATATGTAAAAGAAATGTATAAAACGCTCACTTTTGACCTCAATAAAGAGCAGATATTTGGTATTAAAAACTTCGAAATAATAAAAAGTAGAAGTATTCAAGTCTAAAATTCCCCTTGTTCTTAAAAAATATTTTTGTTATAAATTTTACCTTTTAAAAATTATTGTTATAAATCGTCTTATTAAAAAATTAGATTTGCCTTGTTCCTTGATAGTTTCTTGTTGAATACCAGTTTTTAGTAGTTAGAGTAAAAGTACCCAAATTGTCATATCGTATTCTCTTTTATTGTATTTGAATTGATTAAATAACTAATTAATATCGCAATTGTTAAAATCGACCTACTAGTAAAATTGCAATCTCATGATACCTAAATCGTAACCCAAATCATGACCAAATCATGACTAAAACATGATACTCTGATAATATAACCAAGTTTCTATTATTCAGACTTTAATCATTACATGTTTTAAATAGGTGAAAAAATGTTTTAAACTGTTTTTTTACTATCCCTATGATTAGCTAGTGATCGTAATAGAGCACAACAAAATTTGAATAAGCAAATTATAACATAATTGAAGTTTGCTCAAGATGCTATTTTTTAGTGATCATAATAGTACTCATTTACTATAATCAATTAAAGTAGAAATTGTAAATTAATGCTTGAGCAGTTCTTTAATGATCTCTATATTATTTATCAAATATCACTGTCAAAAAATAAAAAGCAGAAAATAAAAAGTAGTCCAACATGAAAGAACAAATGCTACTATTTTTTGAATACAACCTAGTGAGGTATCAACTTCAGCTACTCCAATTATCCTTGTTATAAATTAAATATAGAAAAACGTTAACTGGGTTTAGATTCTTGTTTATGTTGGCTTTTGAATCTAATAAAGTATTATTGACAGAATAGTTGAATTTGTAACATAATTAAAAGCTGAGATAGTATCTGCAGTTATTTTTTGAATTTACTGATATTTTTTATTTTTCATTGAATCTTTTAATAAAGATAATAAAATAACAATTCGTTATGCTAAGAATGAAGATCTATAGTAAAGTTACTTGAGCAATCTCTATGAATACTCAATTGATGGTAAAAATTTCAAAGTCAGGTATAAAAAAAAGATGTTTTTTTGTAAAAAGTTAGCAAATTAAAATGATTATCTCTTAATATTTTTTACTAATATAAATATTTCAATTATATAATAAACTTTAATAAACTACACTATTTAAGTATTTATTATAATGATAAATGTAATTGACCTGCTGAAAAGATTTTCTGCTAAGTAAAATTTATTTCCTGATGCTTTTTGATACATTGATTAAGACACTTGAGAATGCTCTATATCCTCAAGTAATTAGTTATTTATATGAATTCAGGTACTCAGATTACCCGATTATATTCAGATACCTAGTTGGTAAAGACGGTTGACCTGATAGGTCATGAGTAGAGATTTTCCAACCAGTTTGGAACCCTAATAACAGTTATTCTAAACTTGTAGATCTAGCTTAAATATATTATACTCATATACGTAGCCAAATTCTCTCTCAACAGGTTATTAACAATGTAATCCCAAATATAGAAACTATGCATTGGTTAATTTGTCATATTCAATAATTGTAGTACCAAATTTAGTAAATATTGTAATTATCGTTAAATTATCATTATGATACCAAATAAAAATTATTAGTTAACTCATGTTGAATTATCATAATGCTGAGTCATTTTACTGCTTCGTGTCAAATAGTTATGTACTAAATAAAAATAAGTTGAAATTTATAATAAAAAGGCCTACAAAGTTCTGTTTGTTTTTCAAGAAATATTATGACACAGGAATTCACATTAAATGGTTTAGGATCTGTGTACTCCCTCCCTTGAAAGCATGTCATAATATTTCATTTATTTTTTCTTCCTATACTTATAAAAATACTGCTATCGAGGGCGTGATCATCAAATTACTATTGTCTTTTAGTGAGGAGAGGAAGACCCAATGAGCTTCCTATGGTTTAGACCACTGAGCTATTGGATGAGAAATAATTCGAATGTATCTGCCTCAAAATTCAAATAAACAGATATATCTTTTTTTTCTTTTGCCCTAGGCGTGATTGTTATCCTCAATGTAGGGCATTAGAGTAATCATCAAATTAATCAAATCAAACCATAACGATAAGTAGTTATACATATAATTAAATATTTTTTATAAAGATCTGAATTTACTGCAAGTAATAACAACTTTTGGTACAGTTTTCTTTTGAACTAACATAATAATTGCAAGTTTAATTTGTTATAAAAGATATTTTAACTCACTTAAAATACTGTAACAATATCATTTTTTAATTTATACTATTTACAAGTTGCCAATTTTTCAACAAAGTAAAGAAGCTTTACTTAAAATGTAACTAATAAATTTATTAAAATTCAAAAAACTAAGATTGTTTTGAAGAAGATAGGAATGAGAGCTACAAAATAAAAAAAATTTGATATGAAAATTTTATGTAGTTAACTAGAAAATCGTACTTTTGTTAGTTATATCATATCTTTATTAGTTATATTGATAATAATGAAAATATTTGCACAAGTTAATTTTCTGAAATTATTAAAAAATCTATAAAAAATCTTCACATAATAATAATTATATGTACAGTTACTTATAGTTTAATTTTATTAGTTTGTCTAATAGAGTATGTATGAGGAAGAATATGACACAAACTTCCTAAACAACTGAACTACACTACAGAAAGTGATTAAATATATCTACCAAAAAAATTTATATCTGAGATTTAATCTTATCAATATTCCTAAACTATTGCTAATAAGTAAAGTTATATTTAACTTAAACTAAATATATACTATTTTTTTTTATTAGCATTTTGATTGCTTTTGCATTAATCAGATTACAATTACAAAGTTATATTACTATTTTATGTAGAGTCACATAAAATAATAGTAATAAAGAACTTCTACACTTCAATGAATTTCTATACTTCTTTTTCTTCTTTTTCTATTTGTGACTCTGAGTTATTACATGATTTCATTAAAAAAAAAAAAGCCTACTTAAGCAAACATTTTATTTTTCAGAGAACTTAACAATTTTTATTCAAGTTAGAACTTTTTTTAAATATATTTGAGTTGCGAAAGAGAGTAAAATAGCAAGTCTGTCACAAAAATCACGAAATAATATGAAACCAGAGGAGCTTGAAGACCAAAAGACGTGAGCGATGCTTTATTTCTAGAACTTTCAGTTTTACTTGCAATTTTATCACGCGAAAGATCTATTGCTTTATTATTTCTGGTACTCTTCCTTTTAGGTGTCATTTGGTTATTGTTTTTGTGTTATTGCTAGTGTATTCTGTTACTAGTGCTGTTGTAAGTCACATATATACTCATATTTCTTTCTTATATTTAGTTGTTCAGATTTGGTAGTCATCCTTT